CAGGTGCCTACACACACCTGCATTCAGTAAAATAACACAGCTTTAGCAAAAAAAAAAAAAGAGCTAACCAGAGGCTAGCCCGCTTTTAACAACCTTTTATTGGTGCTCTGACTTTTAAAGAGCTCCCATCTGAAATACCTTATGATAAGTATTAGAAATGAAGAAATAGCAAAGCCTTCTCGAAGATACCCATTTAAAACTATATCTGAAATATTTCAGCTTAATTGAAGGAATTATAGTCCTTTTTTCCCCAAAAAAAATTCTAAGTCTTCCATTACATCAATTTAAAATGTATTTATAAACTTGACTTATGGCAAAATTCAGAGCAATAAGCAGTGGCTGTTATGGAGAATGGCTCTCTGTGAAGACTTTTTCTGATATATAACACAGGCATAAGAGGCTCAATAATGCCTTGGGTCAAATTTTGCTGATGAACATTATCTTAGTTTCTTGGCTGGAATCCCCTCTGGCTTCTAAAATTCCTATTTTATTTCAGGGCAAATTTTGTCTGGGAAATAAATGCAGAAACCCATGCTGTTAGGTTGGTTTCACACAGAACTTGAGAAATGCCGAGGTTTGGAGTCCAAGACAACACGTACTTTGTTTCTGGGTATTTGGGCACATTTCCTTTAGATCCCTGTGAATGAGTGCGTGCAAACTGCATCCCTGAGAACTGGGAGGTTTGGTTTTGTTTTTTTTTTTTACAGTCAGAAACAAGCATCCTCTAATTCAAGGTGCTCCACAGGTTATTGCATGAACCTCAAGCACTGTGAGTGCCAACAGAAAACTGTAACACATCGGAAAAGTGTGCGAGAACAAAAATATCAGAGGCAGAGTCACGTACGGTTTACAAACACAACATGCTGGTACTGTTTTAGTCATGGCGCTGGGTGCACCTGTTCCTAAAATCTTGGGTTTTGCTTAGCACTTCTGAATAAAATCCAACATAAGTTGCAGGTAAAAATTCACATTTTAGCGTGAAACTTTGAAACGCATTAGTGAAGACAGTGACATTTAAACACAAAATACCACTTCTGTCTCTGAAAGCCCCTGAGATGTAAATCATCAGAGACGGGGAAAGCAGTCCCAAGAAATATCCCGGCGCGTCCTGTTCCCATTCCCTCGCCATGCTCGTCGCTCAGGGCTGCTGCGAGGGAGGCGACACCGGGCTGCGACCTCGGGCTGAGCCGCTGCGGCTCGGCTTACGCGGGCTCTTTTTCTGTGTGTTGGTCCTTTGTGTTTGGAGATGCAAGGTGCCATGTGACAGAGAGGCCTCTCCTCTAGAAACTGCTTTCTCATCTCTGGTTTTCCACGGTTCAAACGTAAGACTTTGAAAAAGATTTCAAAGCTGCATCTAGTATATGGAAATTCGTGGCTCCAGGCAGGTTCATGATCAGCCCTGAGATTTCAAGCTTAAGAGTAAGAACCTGCAGCCTAAATATAATTCCTTTTCCTTGTGTTTTGCCCTTCTCTGTTTTTGCTGTTTAAAGCCATCAGTAGGAATAAGATGACACCAATTTTCATGGATCATTTATATAGTTTTACTTTAGGTAGATATTTCAATTTTCTTGTAAAGACACTGGGTTAAGGAAATATGAACACGAGCCCTTTGGATAAGCTATAAAAATGAAATTCCAGCTGCCAGTTATCAAATATAAGTGACGTTATACATGCTTAGGAAACTGAACTCTGTACAACTGGACGGTAGGTGAAGGTGTCTCAGTAATCCCCAGAGTGGGGAAATAATCAAACCACTTTCAGGGCAGTAGGAGCAGAAATATCATGGCATACACTGGGCTTGGGGATGGGTTCATTTCACACGTGAAGAACCAGGGAAGAAGAATGAAGGAAAGTCCATCAACCGAAAGGTTTGTGATCCTCAAAACAGTTCTTGCTGCTCATTATAAATGTTAGTTACTTGCTTTTATAAGTGGATATCACCCTACCTGATTCCTTCAGGGCTTGCAGGCACGGTGGAAGCCAAAACCAAGTGTATCTGCAGTGGAAGCTCAGAGGTTAAAGCTCGCGGAACAAGAGGGGTGCAGACAGCAGGAGTAGGGCAGGAGAAGGATGGGCTGTTTTGCCTGGACACACTGGTAGGGCTTTGTGTGGGACCAGAAGTAGCCACCCACACCCTGCAATCACCCTATCACCCATGGCAAGAGGCAGCCAGTCAGCCTCTGGAGGCCAAAAGGTAGCAGAGGAAGGTGACAAAATGAAAGGATATGCTGGGTTGGGTTTGTAGGTCAAGCTGGGAAATCTGGATTTGTACTGTTTGTTACTTTTTTTAATTAGTGCGCTGCTTTTTATCCTTGGCCTGTCACACTCCTGCCGAAGGCTCAGTTTCCAAGTCCTAGTTTTTAGCATTGCAGAAGAAGCTCAGATGATTGAATTCTATAAAGCAAAAAAAGGACATTGGACACCCTGTGAAATGACACTTTCTTTATTCAGTAAACCAGCTGCAGCAGAGAAGAATCAAAAGACGAAACAATACGTGCCCTTTTTTTTTTTAAATCAGGAAGGAAAGGTTATTGGAAAGCTTACTAAACAGGTAAAAGTGTTTAATTATCGCTGCTTTTCATTACAGCAAGCAGAAGGCAAAACCGCTTGAGAACTTGATAGTAAGGCATGAGTAACCACAGACCTATGTGGGACAGATGTAGACAGAGGGCTGTTCCTATCTCTACTGCAGTTTCACTGATTTGTTAGAAAAGGAGAAATTTCAGGGCCATGAAGATGATCAAAGGGCAGGAGCACCTCTCCTATGAAGACAGGCTGAGAGTTGGGGTTGTTCAGCCTGGAGAAGAGGTGGCTCTGGGGACACCTTATTGCAGCCTTCCAGTACCTGAAGGGGGCTTATAGGGAAGATGGATAGGGACTTTTGACCAAGGCCTGTAGTGACAGGAGAAGGGGCAATGGTTTTAAAATGAGAGGGTAGATTTAGATTGGATGCAAAGAAGACATTTTTTACAATGAGGATGGTGGGACGCTGGAACAGGTTGCCCAGAGAGGTTGTGGATGCCCCATCCCTGGAAGTGTTCAAGGCCAGGTTGGATGGGACTTTGGGGATCCTGGTCTAGTGGAGGGTGTCCCTGCCCATGGCAGGGGGGTTGGAACTAGATGATCTTTAGGGTCCCTTCCAACCCAAAGCATTCTGTGATTCTATGAAATGCTAATCCAGACATTAGGATTAAATGTAGGATGAAGGATAAAAATATCCTTTGTCTTCAGGAGGAAACCAGAGGGTTGGTTACCAGGATGGCCTGTGCTTCATTCTTCAGGAGCAAAGGCTATGTAGGACCAGCATTTAGGATAGTTTCTAGCTGTCATACATTTCTCCCACTTGCAGAGCTGGGCTGTGCCAGACCTTCTACCATTTCTTACATTGTTGAACCATTAGAGCTTCCTCCTGCTTTCTGTTTGCACTAATCCGCTGGAAATCCACCCCTGGAGACCTGCTTTACTGACCCCCATATTCATTAAGAATAATTGTTGATACTGTATAATGGAATAATAACAGTGCAATTAAAACAGCTCCTTCTCACGGCAGAGCTTTTATGGGATTGCCAGAGAGTGCTAACGAGATCCCTGAGCCCATCTATCACCCTCTGCAACCCCTACAGCCGGTTTGATCTTTCAATGGCCGTGTGCCAGTCTGACACGGTGTGGTGCACCGATCCCCCTCGCCACCCCCTACAGCCGGTTTGATCTTTCAATGGCCGTGTGCCAGTCTGACACGGTGTGGTGCGTACAAGTACTACAGCAGCCACCGCCACACAAAGCAAGAGGACACGTCCCTCCGCTTCACTGCCAGCTCCTTAGACTTGGCACCTTAAATATGTTGTCTCCATCCTCCCTAGTTTCTTTCCTTTTATTCTTCTTCCTCCTACCCCAGACTCCCTGTGAGGAATGGTTTCCATTTAATCCAAGCGTGTTTGGCACTACATTCCTTTTGTCCCACTCGGGTGCTAAGGACATTTTGAGTCTTGTTGAGCAACCAATTTGGGTCATATTTCCTTGCTCACATTGTGGTGGTCTGGCTGCTTACCTTGAGTTTTCCACCTTTGGAATCTGATGGTGAGAATGGGGAGAAGACACCCCCTTCTCAAAGCAACTCTTGACATCAGCCCTTGATTGTGCCAGTTGAAAATGGATCGCAATGCTTTATCCTGGGGAAGGAGTAACGCTGGATCCAGGCAACCGAATATAAATACTGGCACCTTTCAACAAAAATTGGTGTTTGTTGAACGGGCAAGAGAAGAAAAAAAAATCTATATACAGAATATAATTTTGAGTTTTTGCACTGCCACCACAGCTGCCATTCCAACAGCTGTCCATAGGAGCAGAGGTGGTGGCTAGCAAGGGATGCCAAGGGAACCCCTAAAAATCACACTGCCATGGGAGCAAGGCTGCTAGGGAGATGGACTAGCAGCAGCGAGGGCCTGGGCAAAACCACCACGGGCAACTGCCCGAGCAGCCAAGTTTTTCTGTTCATTCTGCAGTGGCGAATCCCATCATCTGCTCATGGCATGGAACAAAGGGAGAACAGGAAAACTGCACTCAGGTTTGCAGCTTTTGGTCACCCTGTGCATAGGAGAAAGTGGTTGCGTATGACGTGTGTATCTGGTGACATAAAGCATGTTTATACCTGGGCAACAGAGCGTGGTGCAGAGTGCCCCAAGCTAACGACGACCTGAGCTAACACAGTCTACTGCAACTAAGGACTTCAGTGATTAGTCATCGGCGTCACGAGACAGGACGTCAGGCTCGCTCAGTATCCTGAATCCCATAGCAACTCAACTCAAGGACAGGAGCCCCAGTGAGCAGGAGAACAGGGAAAATACACACCTAACAGATCAAGGGGAGGTCTAATTAGTGAATAAATGTATCACACCAAGAGGAGTGGCACATCAACCAGTGTTAAGCTTGCACTTCCCAAAGAGAAGAGAGCTGCGTTTTCAGGTCCCTCCCCTGACTATATTGCTTATTTGCATTTACAGGTAGCCATGGTGACTAGAGTCAGACAGGAGATTTATGGCAGGCTTGATGGCTACTACAATACATGGAAACAGAAAACACCTGCCTTAGACCAGCACTTTCCTGAGAGGGAGATGGCCACATTTCAACATGGGCTGTAGCCCTTCCCTTCTCCTTTATGCATCAAATGCTTTCCCGCAGACCCTTTCCCCCAGCCTGAGCATTCAAAAAATTAAATATTTTCCTTTCCTCTTTGGAGAGCGGAGCAGAGATGCCCCAGCCAGTCCTGCTCATGGTGAATGGGATTTTTCTTCACCTGTGAAAGCAATTCTGCTTCTGTCTGTTCCCCCCCAACACGATGCGCATCCTGCCTCCAGACACACTTCTCTCCTCTCCCAGATGTGAGGGTTGGAGGCAAGTAAACCCCATCTGTCTCAAATCCAATGGCAACCACTGTGGCGTATTCTGCCCTGCTTTATTTCTCATAAACATGTATTAATGAGCGCCTCCCACAACTACTGTTGTGCTGGAGTAAACTTTCTTTTGGCCTAGAATCAGCGAACAAAGCTTCAGCCCAAGGGGAATTTGGCACAACAGCAACTTATCTGCATGACATGTGGATGGTTGTAGAGCCGACATTTCCCCCTACTGCCAATATTGGAGGAAACACGAACAGGCAACCTAGAGCACAATGTTGTTTTGTCTCTAATTTTCTCCCCACCCAATAAATGCTTCAGAGACTTTTTGCAAAGCAGAAATACTTGCGCATCGTCTTGCGCTTAAAAGCATATCCAAATTATAATTGAATACATTTCTCTAAAGCAAAGATAATAGGCTGAGGGCTTGGGAAAATAATGTTTTAGGTGAATGTCTGCTGGAGACAGGAAAGCTGTCTGGCAACAAATTCTTTGGGGAACACACAGCTCGATACTCTCGCTGAAGGGGATCAAGTGAAATTACATGACAGGGAAAAGTAATGTGTCCTGAGAGATTAAATGTAAAACTCTTGATTGCTTCTCTCAATTATCCCAATCTTACTTTGTGAATTCACTATTTGAGAAGTGCTTATTTCTGAATTATACTGAGATGAGCAAGAGGATAAGTCAGTGAAATTACTAAACGAAACCCAACCATTTCATATAATACGTGCAACCCAACCGATTTAGCACAACAAATTCTGTACACGTTTGAAATATCATGAAAATAGTGTCTTTAATATACAGTTTATATACTTACAATACATGGTTTAAATTTGTTCATATACATTACAGGGATATTTATTTGCACCTGGTTTAAATAATAATCTGCCTTCAGCCTTTTACACAAAAGCCCAAAACAGCACAGAATTCCACAAAAACCATGCTTCGTTTTATAACGGAAATGTACTAAGCCAAAGTTTTGGGGCTTTTTTTTTTTCCCAAGTGTTACTTTTTTGACCTACCCAAAGTGACTCTAAAGGTCTAAGAACTAACAAAGATTTTTAATATAATTCAGAAGATTGTCCAAGTCAAGAGAATCACTCTGCAGATTTTCACGCTGAAAATTTGGTTATTACGCACAGAAATAGTAAAGTCTGAACAACTCCCCGACTATTAGGAGTTTAAGACATAACAATCGAAGAGTCATTTATTGCTAGGTCTCAACAAGGGGCTGCGTTTCCCTACTGCCCTGCAGTCCTTCATACTGCACATAAAAAGAATGATCCCTCACTTCGATTAAGATTTCATTCGTATCTTTCTAGCATGCACACAGGAATACTGCAATTTCAGAGCATCAAAAAGAGAAGCCAGGGAGCTGGGCTAAGCCCGTGTCCTTTCACATAGGGTTGGTGTTCGGCTTTTAGGTGGCGTGGCGTGGCGTACCCCCTGCCTGGCCCACAGGCAGGACTTGGCTGACCTGCGTTGCAGGCAGGCATCCCGCTGGGCAGCAGGCAAGTAGCTAGTGCTGGCACGCTTTATTTAATGGGGAGACAATCAAGGAGTTGATTCAAGAAGAAAACATAGGAGAAAACACTTCATGTATTTATAGACCAATTTGAAACATGGTGGGTTGACTGCATTGCTATTTACGCTGTTTCTCTTGAAGCTGTTGTGGTGGAATAAAGTCAATTAAAGTGGCAAATAAAACTGTTGTATTGGAAAAACCCCTGTGTAATACAGTTACTTCAAACCCTTGCTTCTAGCTGCAAAGAACACTTCAAAATACATTTTCCTTCTAATTTTCGATGGACCAAATGTCTTCTGTCTCTGTTTCTAGCCATAGGCAATATGGCAAGAATAAGAACAAAAATATGTGCTTTGAGTTGATTTCAATACAACTTTGGTTAGCCAGCCAGGCAGCAGTACAAAAAATCTTAATCCTAGGCACAACAAGCATTTAAAGGAAACCAGCATTTCCCCTCAATTTTCCTCCCCATCTCTCCCCTGGCCAATTCTGTTTCCTCATCCAGAAACGCCCCCCTGGATTCCTCATCCCCCCAGAATCCAGGGGATGAAGGCAGCATCAGTCCCGGTGCCACCATGCGACTGTTGCATAGAAAGGATGTATTTATTGGTGCAGGACAGAGACAGGTCTGTACAGACCGACATGCCAGATTTTTTGCTACCAAAACACCCAGACAAACAAAACCCCCGAGGAAAACACACAACTTCAGACACCGATAACTAAATGAGCACCAGAAGAAAGAAGTCCAAGGTTAGGGTTGGCCTATTTTAGCAGAGTGCCTCCAAAAAGGAAAATATTTTAGGTCCTTCTGGCATGACACATGTTGTCTGAACTCAATGGTGACATCTCTGTAGAAGACAAAATGGGCAGAGCCTGCTCTCAGGCCCTGAGGACAACCAACACAGCTCACGTCAACACGGTTGAACTCCATTACTCTCCAAAACCAGGTTGGTTTCCCCCATTGCTAACCTCTGAGCTGTGCTTGGGAGTTGTCTGGGATCACCCATTGCACAGGCTGGCTGGGTTGCACCAAACCAGGCAAGACAGTTCAGCAGCAGCAAGGGACTCCCACAAGAGAGTGCCCATGTCTGGTGCTACTCAGTTTGCTAGGATGGTTTGCAAGTCCTATCAAACACCGAGTGCCGTCTCCTCCTATTCATGTCAGCTAGCAAAAAGTTTGTATCAGCGGGATATTCCCCAGACCCTTCAGACACTTCTTAATCACAGTGGGATCACTAAAGTAACCCTCCATCTCCAAGTACAATCAGCAGTGCAGCATTTAGTAACCTTTTACAGGTTGAAGTCTCCAGGTCTTACACCCCATCTTTCTAGAGACTGCATGGTTCTCTGCTAAGGCTTGAAGGACTCCTCTGCTCCTGCCCTGTTTCAAAGGTGCCACCATCCCTTTATTGCCAGGGACTTCCCGTGAGACCGACACGTTCACATCAATCTGCCCGGTTCAGATTGCCTTCTACACCACCAAAGATGGTCCGGACCTCCTAACATCACAGCAATGAAGCTCAAGAGGAAAGCAAATAAATTAGATCCCATGAGCATCAGTGCTGCCATAGCCTGGCTACCTACACTGGGGTGGAGAGGCCAAGCCACCCCACTCCAGCTGCCTGGTTTGCTCATCACTCTCCTCATTTCACCAGAGCAGATGCTTCAGTCCAGCTTGGGCATCACAGCAGGTGGCTCGATGCCGCAGTCATATAATTCACACAACACAACAGTTAGGAGCACCTAAATCACTAAAAAAGGCTTGGACAATAAAGGTGATGAGCTGCTAAGGGCAAAAGAAAAGGTCAAATGCTAACACATTATGCATAAAAATAAGTAAGCAGTGTGAAGCCAGAACAAGACAACTGGAAGGACATCAATAGCAAGTTTGCAGTTAGAGGTTTTAGCAGTACTTCTGCACACAGGAGCTGCTTCTGAAATCATTGCATATTTCTGGGCCTTTCGACAGGCCAGTTGTATTTTGGTTTATGCGTACATGATGTTAATGCAGCACACTCATGAATGCAAATTCCACCAGGCTGCTTGCAAGAAAAACAGTTCCAAGCAGGTAAGCAGAGATAACAGAAGAGGTATCCATGTGTAGTCAAACACCACTATTTTCTCAGGGATGTTAACACCCTGGGGGCATTCAAAACATTTAATGTTAATATTATCAAGATTGCCATCTCATCTTTTTTTTTTTTTTTTTTTTGGAGAGAGATATTTTACTTTTTTTACCTGGAATTAACAACCCAAGCAAAACAAAGAGAAGCACCTGACATTTAAAATTTGGCCCTTTCAAGTTTGAACACTCATTTGACATAGTGAGGGTTAAAATGCAATTGACTTCAACTTGCACATGCCTACCAACAAGTATACACATCTGAACAGTACTTGAATTTGATTTAGTCTTACTTGCAGCTAAAATATTTTAGGATGCTAATTAAAATGCATCCGGAGAAAGCTATTGATCTGTTGCTAAAAGTCAATACATCAAGAAAAAGAGTAGGATTATGAGCTCTTGGGGTTTTTCTATTGGGATGTTTTTTGGCTCACTGCTTTCTAGTACCCACATCAATTGGGCTTTGCTCTCTGGTTGGGAACTGGTGGTTTGCATTACTGCAAGACAAATGATGCATCTTGGCTTTGTCAAGGAGACATGACATGAAATTTGCCCAGGCAACAGAAAATTCCATTTGCAAATAAATTCTTTTTAATGAGTCAATATGGCTGAGAAAACAGGCAAAAGCAGCCTCTCATTTTTGTCCCTCCTCTGTATTTCCTGTTGATGCTCCCACTACGTGGGAAATGGAAATAGAGATATTTTTTTTTGTACTTTGAAAAGGTAGGAAAGGCAGCTGATGGTGTCACCCCGGCCAGGGCTCTGCTGAGCAGCAGGTGAGCAGGTGAAGGTGAAGCTGCTCCAGCATCCCTGGCTCTGACCACCTGAGGATCCTGGGCACGCACAGATGCTGAGGATGGACACCACAGACTGTTTCCTGAGGACCTCCACAAATCCTTGCACTCAGTACCTCAAAAGCAGAGGATCTTGGGGTTATTTAGACACATTTTGGAGAGCTCTGCCAAGCACAGGAAATCAGCAACGGACTGTCAAAAGTTAATCCTATTTCTAGCTGCCTGAGCAGTTAAATGTGAAAGGTCACCAGAGGCAGCCCAATGTCCCCTTCCCATCTCTGAGCTCCCTTTTGACTCCTAC